ACTGCTCACGGTACTCAACCACTATCCCTTCTTGCATCAAGACAAAGAACTGCTCATGGAAGTCACCTTTCATAGAAGTTTGAAAACTTTCTAAAAAATAATTCTTAAACTCCCACCAGGTCTGTATGGGGCATCTCGTATCCCTCCTAGATGTGTCAAAATGGATTTTCGGGTTGGGTTTGGGTGGAACCTAGAATTGACCCGATTTCAAATGGGTTAACCCGAACCCAACCCGATTTTGTAAATGGGTCAGAAATTTAAATCCGGACCCGAGTTGCTGGGTTACCATGTTAACCCGACCTAACCCTCAAACCCAGAATACAGCCAATGCGGCGAGTTCAGGAGCGAGCAAATGAGGGGTGTCGGCACAAGAGCGGGTCTGTGAGGGGTGTGCATGCTTAAGCGGCACCTAATTTTGATTTTTCCGAGGGACCTCTTGTAACTCCAATTTGGGTTTCTTTTCCTCGACTATGACTTCACTACTTTAACCAATCCATAATGTATTCTCTTGGCTAAATTTTTGGTAATTGCTTCAAGTGTAAGCTACTACTGCTAAACTATCAATGCCATCATTGGTGGCTAAGGTCCTAGTTGAAATGGTCATTACTATCCTTTCAAAATAAGCACCCCCATACCATAATCTCCATCTTTTCATTACCAATCAGCCCCCCTTGCTTCATGCCCCCATAATCACGCCTCTCTCCATACCTTCCACCTCTCTCCTCAATGATATCTACGTCGTTTTTATTCCTACGGATTTCAGAATTTGTATTTCTCCCACCAGACCTCTTACCTCCGATGCCGTCATTTGATTTTGATTTTCCAGTATCTTCTTCACCATCTCATGAAGATCGGAAACTTTTTCTTCCATGGAGGATATTCAATCCTCCATTATTGCTTTCATTTAGCTCATTTCCCCTTCAAGGCGTTCTTCAAAAGCATCCACTTTATTAGCCGTCATCGATACCCGAATATTTGTTGAACTCAAAAATCTTGATCTTGCCCGCAAAAACAGCAAAACAACCCTTCTTCAGATAAAAATAAGCAGCCAGATTTAAAAAAACAGCCCAAAAACAGTCCCAAAAACTGCTCTAATACTAATTTGATAGGAAACAACAGGGAAAAATAGGAATTCATCACTGAAATCAGAATTTGAGCAGTTAAATCAAGCAAATTTTTAGATTTTTATGGATGAAAACACAAGTAAAACACTCTTAATTGCTAGAAGATGAAAGAAAATAGAGAGATATATCCTCTATTCGAGAGGAGGATCAATCTCTACAAAACTCTCTAGATGGCGCTAGAGCCCAAGAACACCAAAGAGCACTCAAAAATAAGCAACAAAAAAAATGCCCTAACCCTAATACAAACCCCTAATTAAAGTAAACACAAAATTAACACCAAAGGACTAAACATCCCTCAAGCAAAAGGCTCGAGATAGTAGACCCCACCCCTAAGGGGGCAGCTTAACAGCCTGCGAACCACCAGGCTTGCACCTGCTGTACTGCAGGAGCCAGCCCATAGGTTGGGCCAGCTAAACTGGTCCAATCATATCAGAATTCACCCTTCTCGCTTGCATCAACCTCCTCAATTTTTTTCTCATTAACCTACTTTAATGAAGAAATAGAAGAAGATTCACCTAAATCCTTATGCTTTTTGTTGTCCCTGTAACTTTCCGGAAACATTGCAATGATTTTCTTGTTGGTATATTTCTTGATTTTCTCCATATCGACAAGGTCAGGGAAGATTACGGCATAATTTCCAGAATGAGGTAGTGAAGTATTTATAGATTTATAAGATATGAATGCATTAACCACATGTCAAATCCACATAATTGATGCGATCAAAAAATACAGGGGACCCTATATCTCTTGATCACAAAGGAGAGACGGACTTCTACCGACGAAAATGACTAAGGACGAGAAAAGGGACGAACAAACTCTTACATTTCAAATTAAAGAAATAAAAAGAAATCAAAAAACACAAACTCGACTCAATCTCAAAGACGACCTAAAGTTGCTTCACTTAGAGAAGAAGGATACAGGTGGAGTGGCACTTGCGGAGAGACGAAAGAGGTTAGAAGCCCGAGAAGAAAGGTTGGAAAGAGCCCGCAGGATTTCCAAAGCAAACCCGCGGGTTATAACTTTTCCAAAAATCACATTTTCATAAAATTTACTTCAAACATTACAAATCCCCCATATATATAGGTATGAAAGGGAATACAAAGAGACACTAACATTAATTTTAACACAAGAAACTAAGCATTAAACCCAAATGCTTTTCACGCAAAAACAACCCAAGCCAAGAAACCGAAGAGGTAGCCGCGGGAACCAAGGAGGCCGAGCGGGAACCAAGGGGCCACGGTCACGGGAGGGAGCACAGGCACGGGAAACCAGCAGCCGGCCGGAATCCAAGGGGGCAAAAGCAATGAAACCATGGAGGAAACCAAGGAGTCATGCATGGGAAGACTAAACAACTATCTTGGGATTCCAAAAGCCCTTTTTAGAAATCTAAGAGACAACTTTAAGACATTAAAACTTAAAACATTAAAACATAAAATTACATTTAATAAAAAGATAACTATGAGCTAAAATCATAGCTAATAATGAGCTAACCCTTAGTTCAATAAATGAACTAAAGACCAGCTCATAAATGAGCTAAAATTTCAGCTCAATTTTATTTGAGCTAGTAGACTCAAGAGAAGTCAAAAATCTAATTATTTTTTACATGAGTTGACCCCCCCCCTTTGTCTACATCAATAATCAACCATGATTAATGTGCTCTCTTTATTTTTGTTACATTTATTCATCATTCATTCACTATTTCTTTAAAGAGATGAGAGAATCAGAGAACTAAATGTACATGAAAATTTGCCTTAAGTCAGGTTAGACTTGTCTCACAAATCAAAATATATCTAGTTCATGACAACTTGATTAGTTAAGAGGGATCAATTTGCCTTGAGATGAAAGTCGCTAAAATAATAATAATCTTGTTGGAGAGTTTAAGTCACCTAAGTTATTTGACATAACCCTTATTAGGGATTTGAAGTCTGCAATCAACTTCAAATGAACTCATTCTTCACTTAGAAATCAACAAGAGTCCTTTATGTATTCTTATATAAACTACTTTTTAAGCTTCTTGTGTGATTCTACTTATATAAAAATAGCATTTATTGTAGCATTGTGCTTTGAATAAAAACTATAAAAAAGGGTCAAAGGGTGAGCCTAGGATATTGAAACATTGGCATCGGGCTTATACTTTCTAACAATATAATGAAATCCCAAAGCTTCTCATTTAAGGTTCTCTTTCTTCCCCTTTTTTTTATCTTGATTCTTTCTTATTAATAAAGCTCTGGTATCACCCACTGATAAATTTGGATCCAACAAGGACCATAAAATTCTTAGGCAATTCACCTTGTGACAACTAAAAGCACGAGAGTTCCCCAACTCCTTCCACTAGAGGAACACATTTCTTTATCAATCAATTTTGAAGAGTCGTCCCTTCTACTTTCAATGTTGGTAATCAACTTGCTTAGGAGAGTCTCTCTAATGTCGATCCATCTAATCCAAACATCATCACTATCCTCATTGACTCCATCACTTTCTATGTCACGAAAAGATTCCTTGGTCGGTGATACCCCTTAACTTCTTTCAAATATATCAAGATGTGATGGTCTATCACTTCTTAGCTAACCATCATCCTAACAATATTGTGATAAAGGGCCTTCAAACTTCCCTTCACTAATGGAAGAACAAGTATTTATTTGTTTGTCTAATCAACCAACTAAGGGATACCCACCAAACATAACCATGTTTATGGGCTCTGAAATCACTTTGGTTGTTCTTATTTAGTATATGATCAAACTTCTAAAAAGTCAACCCAAAATCACCTAGAAAATGATAGACCCAAAAGATATTTTTATAGCACTCAAATATATGCTAACTTCACTAACTAAGATTTCTTATTTTTCGTTTGGCTAGTCGTCAAGATTTTCCTGGATGTTGAATGCATCCAAGTATCATATAATACATCATTATTGTGCGTTGAATCCATGATATGGGGACATTATAAGGATTCCGGTTATATGCAATTCATTACTTAGTAGTAGCAAGGGATTTCGGTGGCCTTTATTTAAAAAAGAAAAAATCAATATTAAATTAAAACATTCTCTCGCTTAAATTTTAACGAAACTAGCTATCTTAAAAAGAAAAAAAAAAGAAAAAAATAAAATAAAATAAAAATAAAAATAAAAACCTAGCCTTTACCTAGAGAAATAAGTCTACCTGAAAAAATTCATGTTTGGCTTACCAGTAACACACCAGACCTTCTCCACAAAAACAAATGAAGTATTGGCAGAGGCAATGAAGGAAAGACCAAGCTTCGTTACTCATAATTACATGAAAGATTATAGTGCTATCATAAAGTTGATACTATCTATGTTGAGTGCTAAAAAAATTTTTAGTTAGATTGTAAATTCTTTAAATTTCAACTGATTTCTTATCTTTTATCATCTAATTTCTCATTCTTATTGTCATTTTATTGCACAGGCCTCGAATCAAAATGCCAAGCTGGAGGTGACTTAAGTTTGACCCAACCTACACCCCTACATCTATGTAGCTATAATATGGAACTTCAAGAAATCAAACAACTGACAAATATTTTTAAAATAACAATTAAAAAAAAATGTCAGCAAACCAAACAATATAGAAACTTGAAGATTTTATGGTATTGAAGAAGATTGTTTCTTCATCTCTCTGGACATCCTACATTCTTCACAGGGTAATCTCCATTTGGAAGAAAAGAACGATGCTCGAGTAGCGGACCAAAAGATGGAAGAGAATTTCTTATGATGATCACAATGATTCCATCCTCTACTTTGCTTTCCTCCCATTTTGAGGGTTTCGATATTTGCAGAATTTACAGCTATTGCCATACCAGGTGACCTTTTTTTTTATCAGTAAAATTACAAGAGAAGTAAATAGAAATAGAGGGCAGCATACTTCGAGGATCGTATCCCTTCTGGCCAGCGGCCATGAGGTGGTAGCGGTCGGCAAGAGTGCGCTCGGCCAAGCATTCCAAGACAAGATAATCGAGCTCTTCCACTGTCTGAAGCAGTTTGAGGGCTGCGGCCGGTCGATCTCCAGCAAACCCTGCGCCACATCCGACGCGGACCTTGGCCTTTCGTCTCCGGGGATTTTCTCTCTGCGACCAGAATGAAATCAATTGGACGTGATAAAAATTTTGCCACCCTATGTTCAGCAGGTGATTGTTGTTGCTCGGACTCACCAAATTGATGACGCAGTTGTGAACTTCGCCCTTCTTCCACTCGGTCTCCATCTTGAACTGCTCCGGTTGGTCCCGCTCAGCCGGTGACCGAGGCGGAAGACCAGTTTAACTCAGGCAGGATACATTTACTCAGTAAATTTGGTTTTTAATATTTTTTTAGGATTTTAAATTCTAAAAATTATTTGATATGAAAGATTCTGCCTAATGAGTAACTATTTCGCTAAAGAATAAGGATTTAAGATGGTTAATACAAATAATATTTACACATAATTATTTGGGAAAAATTATTATGTGCGAATACCGAACACTCGTTCGGAGACGAATCAAGAAGCGCCACGTCATTTTTTTGTGTAATGGTGTTGTGTACCATGTGACGTGACACATTATGATTTGCCTTCGAACGGTCCAGTATCCGCACATAATAATTTCTCCGAACTGTCCGATATTCGAGGCATAAATATAACGTGCAACTCAAGTTGATCGGCGTTGTTGACTCGTTGCCTACGACTAGGCAAATGAATGCATTAGAGCCCCAACGATTGAATGTACATTCAGATCCACATCAGTGAATTTATCTTACTTAAAACATTATCGAGTTGCATATCAATTTGAGATATATTGAAATAAATATTGTGTCCGTACATGAGCAGTAACAATATATCTTTGAACCGTCAAAGAAAATTATTGCATGTGAGTTATAACTTGAAATCTCTTTTCGAAATGTAAAGCTTTCTCTCAAAGATATACATGATTGATAAGTCTATTATAGATATCCATGATTGATAAGCCTATTATAGATATTTATGATTGATAAGTCTACGTGTATTTATTATAAACGCTTTATCATATCATATCCCACATTATTGTAGTGCACTGCATTCCATAATCAGGGTTTAACAACAACAATGAAATCTTAATAACAAATGTTCATCTAATGATTAATATATTAAAATTATCCAGCATGAGTAGATTTGTAGTGATGTTGAGTAGTTGGTGGATTAGATTAATCAAATATCTTGAGGTTTGTTTAGGATCTTTTTATTATTATTATTATTTAATAAATATATGTTGTTATTTTATGTACTATTTGATCATTTTATGTTTTGAATAAATTATCTTTAAATATTAAAAATAATTTCCAGGTGTTTCTGATTAATTTTTAAAAAATAATTAGTGTCCAAATCAGGAGTATCTACAGATCATTCCAAGATAGAGGCTATGTTGGAGTGGCCCTTACCCAAAACCCTCAAAGAATTGTGAAGGTTCTTGGGACTCACAGGTACTACAAGAAGTTTATGAGAGGATATAATTCTATAGCATGGTTGTTGACAGAGCAACTGAAGAAAGATAACTTCAAATGAGATGTGGCAGCTACCCAGGCATTTCAAATGGGGGGTGGCAACCATCCAGGTGTTTGAGCAGTTGAAGAAAGCCATGACGAGTGTCCTTGTGTTAGCACTACCAAATTTTAGCCAGCCATTTATATTAAAAATAATTTCCATGTGTTTCTGATTAATTTTTAAAAAATAATTATTAATGCTTGCCACTCCTGTCATTATCACTATTGGCTGCCACCAGCAACTACCCTCATCATTATTCCTGGCCATCTCCATTATCAGTTACAACATTCAGTTGTTGTCACTAATAGTGTCATTGTCACCGACATTGTGTTATCAATCATTTTGCCATATTTTTTCTAGTCAATATCCAATCTAAACAAAAAAAGTGTTTGAGATATAATCGTTCACAAATTCCATCATAACTAAGTAATATTCTTTCAATGAACATAATAGATTTGCTACCTCATAAATACCCCAATATTTTTCATAGATAATAAAGGTGAAACAATAAAAAAGTTGTACGATTACATCAATTGTTATTTTGATTATAAGAATAATGTTGAATTGCCTCACCTTCTATTTGATTTCTACTTGTTTACTACTATCACAACTTATCATAATCTTTTTACTCATTTTAGCCATCATATTTCCTATTTAATTTCTTCTTTCTTTTAACATTCTCCTCTTAAAAATAACATCTAAAATGCATATTATAACCTTTCTATTACAAAATGATGGGTAGGGATATCTTTACAAAAATTTTTATCATAATAAGTATCAAATTAAACAAATTTGCTTTAAGATTAGTATATAATAATAATAATAATAATAATAATAATAATAATGACTAACTCCTTATGATGATGCTAATAACAAACTCCTTATGATAAAGCAATTGATGGGGTGCCTCCTCAATGCAATTCATTGAAAATAGTTACGATGAAGTACTCATATTGATATAGCGAGACAATAGATGCTAAAATGTACCCCAAGTTCTTAAATAAATAAGGTCAAAACTTGCTGAATAACTATGTGACGTTTCAGGAACTTCTTGGCTTTCTTCGAGGGTCTTCTTTATTTTCAATGATTTTAGAGCATGTGTGCTTAGGCCATTATGAAATTTCATAGTGATGATGTCTCTTTATTCATTATCCGAGAAGGTTAACTATGCTTTTGATTGATTATTCATGATTGAATATGATACTAGCCCCTAAACCTAAATCAAGGATGTCAGCTGCCATCATGACATTAACTGCTAATAACTTGTTAGCATGGTCTTCAAACCACATTCATATTTTAATTCATGATTAAACTATGATCGAATAATATTTGAAGAATGAATAATCAATCTTTGAGCAATGGTTATACTATGATCTCAAACAACTTTCAAATCATATTCAATCATGATTTGAATAATTTGAATAATGTTCAAATTATGATTGAGTAACAATAAAACAATCTTTGAATTATGATTGAATAATCTTAAACCGTGATAGTACCATGATCAAACTATCTTCTTTTTTTATTCAATAATCATCAAACTACCATTGAATAAGGATAAGAAAAAAGCCCCACTCGTGAATGAATCATCTTGAACCATGATTGAAGATAGTTCAATCATGGTTTGAAGGTGATTTAAGGATCATTCAAATCATGAACGAAAATTGATTGATCATGGTGCGATCACCATTCGAAGATCGCTTGATCAGAGTTAAACTATTTTTCGAGCATAGTCGTAGTTAGAAATTCTCCAAAATTCTCTGTTGTTAGTATTTTTATTTATTTTTGCTCATTGGAGTTATTTTGCTATGTATGTAAATTTCTTCTCTAATCATACTTCACTCATGTTATATTTGATCTGTTATTTCTCTTAAAATGCATTCATTTGTGGTGTTTGCTATATTATATCCCTTTTAATCTATTGTTATGTTTTATACTCCCTTTGCTATAATCCATCTTCAAATCAAAATGAACGATCTTAAAGCCACGAGTGAATAATTTTCAAATCATAATCAAATAATCTTTGAATTATATTTGAACAATTATTAAACAATGATCAATCAATCTTTGAACCATATTCAAACAATCTTTGAATGATGATAGTATCGCGACTTAACCCTATTTAAATCATCTTCAATCATGATTCAAAACAATCTTTGAATATGTATCGATCCATCTCAAACCATCTTCGAAACTTTATCAAACTATAATTGATTAATATTCTAATCATATTACTTTATTAGAACATAATTGTTTCAAACATTGATCCAAATCTTGATGCAAAATAATTCAAACATATGTCAAACTATTCCAATCTTGAAGGTTGGTGAAGATGAACTTTGAATAAATAATTTTCTTATTTTGATCCGAATAAGATATTGGAACATATTTTTCAATAAAATGCATATAAAATATATTTATTTGATTTTAATTATTATGAGGCGGATAAAATCAAATCCATCCTACAAAACTTGTTTAATTATTTAGTTTTTATTATTAAAAAAGGGATTCAGATATATACCACTTTATTTCATGCTATTTATATATCTAACATTTAAAAACTTTAATATTATATTTCTACCACTCATATAAAATTTTAGGGAAATTTACATACATACCACTTTATAACATCCTATTTACATATCTAACACCTAAAACTTTAATATTACATGCATACCACCCTATATTATTTTAATATCAAATATATTACTTATATTTCTTTCCTACCACTCATATATTTCATTTATACCACTCATATTTGGTATGAAAATGAACTATGAGTGATATGTATGTAATATTAAAGTTTTAGGTCGCAAATATGTAAATAGCATAATATTAAGTGGTATGTATGTAAATCTTCCAAGATTTTAATATCAAATATATCACTCATATATTTTCATTCTTATCACTCATGTCACTCAAATTTTAATAATTTTATTTTATTTTATGTATTTATATTTATTGTATAGGTGATAGATATATAATATTAAAATTTTAGATATTAAAAATAGAAATAACCTGAAATAAGATGATATTTATGTAAATCCCCCGTCATTTAATCCTTACTTGCCAAGTTCCAACCCTCCTAATGTTTTATTCTTTGTAGGCCTTCTTCCTCCACGCTCGAAGTCGAACCATCAAACCCAAGCGCGACACTGGCAAACTTCTCAGGCGGCGGCGCCGATCTTCTGCTTGGCTGTTGTCCGGAGGCCCTCAACTCAGACAGCGTGGAGTTAAGTGCGAGAGGGAAGCAACTGAGCAGAGCGAAAAAGGGAAGATGGTATCCCCGACTTCACCCGTGGTAAACATATACCCCCTCTCGAGCTACACTTTCGGGATGAAGGAGCCGAAGATGGAGAAGGATACCTCCGTCGCCGATCGGCTCGCTCGAATGAAAGTGAAGTGAGCCCCTTTCACCCTCAACAAACAATGGATCGTAGGAGTTCCGATCATACGCATTTAAATTGTGTACTTATTAGTATTCTATTAGCTTTCCTGTTCGACGGGATCCCAGAAAAAAAAACCCTTTTTCTTGTTCTAAAATTATTGGAAATGATGAGAGGCATTTATCTGCTTTGTTTGTTTGTTGTTTCATTCAAGCCAAGTATATTTTGGGTTTTGTGAGTTGGAATTATTGGACTACTTTGGATATCGGGTTTCTCGGTTATCGCTTTTGCGATTTGAAAGAGATGCCGAGATTAGAAACCTGAAATCCTCGAAGCACTGGTGGCTTTCGACATTACTCAATGTTGTTGAATTGGTTTGGAGGTGAGAGGTGGTGCAAAATAATGGCCATAGATTGCCTTGTGCTATATTTGAAGGATAGGACACCCTAATTGTAAAACATAAGGTATAAATTTGTTAAGGGGACATACATACCACAAAATTCTTATGTATTTACATATATAACATCTAAATTCATATATTTACTTATATCCTACTTTGACGTCTAAATTACATCTAAGTATATCCATGAAAATATGTGTTTTTCTTCAAATAAGTAAATATTAGTAGTATTTTGATGTGATTTAGAGATTTGAGTGTTATCTCAATAGTAGAAAGATTTAAATGTTAGATTTTTAAAAAGATATAATTTTGTGGTATGTATGTAAATCCTCTTTTTGTTAAATTGAGATATTATGTTTCCTTGTGTTGTATTGTGCTCCTTTTATCTTAAAAAATGTAAGAAAACCACTGGTCGCACACTCCTTTAGCGATTGTTCTCCTTGCTGACTTATGTCATTGGCCATTATAACTTTTAGCTACTCTCCCTCGCTAGTCAAAACCGTCGGTCACCAAAAGGTTTGGCGTCCATCTAGTCAACCTCTACAATAGTCTTGTTGTTAACTACTTGCTCTTAAACTGAGAGAGGTGCATTGCTTTCGATGCTTGACTTAAGGCTTTCCACCAATGAGTTTACGGATCACCATCAACCTCTTCCTTTTGAACAGAGAGAGTTCATTGTTTCACATGATGGTATCTACAAGAAAAAGTTGAGAATTACATCTCACCTTTGATTTCATGAGGTGGTAGGTATAAAGCTAGTTAAGGTGTGAATTTAGTCTTGAGTTTGGTAGCCACTATACTTGAAAATTAAAATATAATTTGGTTGAAATCTTATCTAATATTTTCATGGATTTAAAATGACATTGAATCAAATTTACATGAGAGAAACATGAGGAAATTGAGGACCACACATCATAATAAGCTCTTGTAGATTAATTTTTAATGTGTTGGCCTGAGAGAGAAACATCTTGATGGGGACATCAGATCATGAAAAGTATATCATAGACGTGACTGACGATCTACCGCCATGATCGCGCCGATCTATTTTTGAGTCCTGATATGTATTTGTTTTATTCTTTTGCTTTATGTATTTGTTTTAGTTGTATTTCTCTTTTACCCTTAAGGGTTTTTCATGTGTAAGCCCTAAGGGCTATGTCGTCTTTTATTTTCTTGTTCATTGTATGAGGCTATATATAACCCCCTTATGTTTCTTTTGAAGGTAATGAATGAATTATAGTCAAATTTCTGCACATTAAGTTCTTGTGAGAGCTTGAAAGTCTTTGGAGAGAAATCCCTTGGAGAGGGAAGTGGATTACCCACCAATCTTGGAAGAGTCCGGATTTGTGGCTAGTTTCTCCTTATTCCTTCTTCATCCTTCTCCCTCCCTTGCCTTCCATCCCATGGCCCACCCAAGTCCCCCATACCGTCGGCCACCTCCAAAAACCCTTCCCATTGCCGGCCAACCACAAGCCCCCACCCCTTCTCCTTTGGCTAACACCCAATCTCCCCACCTCCCAACTGACCCCATCTCCCCTCACCCAAACCTGGCGGCACTTCCATCCTAGTCGCCGGCCTCCCTTGGAATTTCCCCATCAATGCTTGCAATTAAAGCCTTCCTAATTAGGCCTTTATATTTTGGGTAATTCAATTAATTCAAAATTCAAATCTATTTGAATTTGAATTCATTACCTAAAATAAAAATTCTATTTTAGGAAAGTTTCCAATTCCCACCCTATTTGAATTTTAAATTAAATTTGAATGAGGTCCCTCCTTCCTAATTTAATATCCTAAATGTAGAAAGCTTTATTTCTTTCCCTAAACCTCCCTCTCTCTCTCTATGCCGCCGACCCACCTTCATGGTCCCTAATTGAATACTTTCCAAACTTCAAGCCTCTCTCTTTGGGAAGAATTCAAAGTGCCTCCCTCTCTCCTACCCGCCCCCTTCCTCTCTCCAAATCTCCATTAAATCCTTTCCAAATTAAATAGTTAATTAGGGGAAAGAATTTATTAATTCCCTCCATCCTTCTTCCCCAAAATCTAAACCAATTTCTTCCCCAAGTCTCTTCCTTTGGCCGGCCACCTCTCACCCTTTCCTCTACTTGAATTCTTGAGAGAAACTTCTTTCTCTCAAGGGAAATGTTCAAGGAGAGCAAAGGACGTCGTCTACAACACTTCAACACTACGAAATAGATGCATGGCCGATCCCGATCTTGACTCTGGTTTCGTCCACAATGAACACAGCTTCATCGACATCATCCGGTCGCCTTTCTTCGACGTCAATTCAGAAATAGACAATTCCGCTGAGTACTTGGATCGTATCATCTTCACCTTGTCCGAAGCCATCGAAGAGCAGCTTTCCACCATTCAGTGGAAAATTACCACCGTTCCACGATGAGGATGAACTTTTTCCTCCTATTCAATTTTCTCATAATCTTCTTCTCTTGTAGGTTGCGAGTCAAGCGCAAGGAACCGTGCTAAGCTATCTGCCAATGCTTAGTAAACGTAGGGCATGAGTTTGATTTTCTATGCATTCTAATCTTATTGTTAACCTATGGTTGCTATTAAAAATCTACTTAATTCGCATATGTTGAAATTCTAATTGTTTTGGTGTTCTTAGCTTTTAGCGTGTGATTTGGCCTAAGCGAAGTCACCTCCCTTTTGTTTTCTATTATCGTTTAGTAGCTAATGTTTTTAACTCTTATTGCTCTTATTCAAAACGTGCAAGTTCTTATCTCATTCATTTAAATCATACCTAGTCCTACATCACATCTCTTTGTGGCACCCCCTCTCAATCAACCATAGTAAACTTGACAGACTTTACCATAACTTTTCGTCTACTGTCATGCTACTCCCTAATCATGATATATTTTTTGTCTTGTGACTTGCAATGACCACCTATCCCTTATAAGCTGCCACTTGACAGAAATGTTGTCCACGACAAACCTTTAGAATCTTCAACACTTGATTTGATAGTAGCTTCAACTAATATAGTTCTATCATGTACAATATGCCACCTTTGGCTTGTGGGGCTATCACTATAGCACCCTTAGTCGCCTTCTAGAAATTATTGTAGAATGGTTGAGGCATAACCTTTTTCACCAAGCTGACCAATTAAGATCAGGTTCATCTTCAAATCAAGAATATGCCTCATATTGTGAAGCTTTCACATAGTCCTATTATCAATATGCATTTTCACTTTACTAACTACTGTAATACTCAAAAGTTTCACCACTAGCAAGATAAAATTTTTCATAATCTCCTACAAAATAGTTCATTATAAATTGTGTAATACAATGAAATGATAAGCCTGACTTAAGGATCTAAGACTTCTTAGAACTATCTGCACTAAGGACCAGTGCATCATATGTCTATGCATTTGCAACATTTATACATGCCTTCGTTTTATTTAAAATTTCTTTGCCTTTGTGGATGGTCCTTTTGATGTGGCTAGTCTTGGTTCCCCACTAGCACGTGCAACTATGATTATTTGTTTTGTTTCTCCATTGAGATTTGGATTTAACTGCATTGTTGCTTCTTCTTGTACTTATTCCTTTGCTCTCAAGATTTAAGCAATAAATGAAGATCCTTGACATGATTCACATCTTCTAATGTCTTTACTCAAGATCGAGTCATAAACATTATTGAGCTTAAGCTTTGTCAACTCACAGGAACTGCTGATAGCTATTGAGTTTCTCGCTTCTTAGTAATAAGGATGGATGCCTTATTCGTGGTAGATTTCTTTGATTAAATGGACTTATGATTCCTTTTTATGGATATGTTTTGCAGTTTCCAAATATAGCATACAAATTATTGTTTGATAATTAAATTCTCGAGAACTTACATTACAATGTTTTAAAAGCATTAGCCGTGATAATGCTGTGGTAAAGAGGTAAACATATCAGGAGAAAATATTTAAGTTATATTCCTTGTTCATTTCTTGAAATCTCATAGTGATGGCTGTGACTGTTTAAGGATCCGTTACAAGCTGGAAAACATAGTGTATAACTATTATCGATGCTTCAGTCCTTTCCCATCCATGAATATACTGATCATTTACATTGCATTGCTCTTGCTTGGTTATGTTTGAAAACATAGAGGCAGAGAGGGAAAAGATGATGTCGATATTTATTTCATTTCCAGAAACATCCATTTTCTTTGTTAAACAAACAAAGACTTGCCTGAATTGGGTAGAGGCATAACAAACAAATTAATCCCTTGCTTAGAATGGAGGAATTGCACAGATGCAGGATTCCTGACCTTGTTACTAGGGTTAATGTCGGTGAAGTTGAGGAAGTGACAAAAAATGGCCTTCAGATTTATTTGACTCCCTCAAAAAATCTCTCGTTCTTATGTTATGGCAATCGAGCACGACCATGTAAACACACAAACTCCCAATCAAATAACAAACATATGACATTCTAGTCTAGAAGGGGTAAATTTTTTATTTCCCATCTCTAAAGTTTACAGGAAACTCCAAAAGATGCATTGGCAGATAATTTTGACCAGGAGTCATCATCATGATCATCATAGTTGGTCCTGTCCCCCCATCTATTTTGGGTTAGCTTTGTGAAACATTCTATTTTATTCTTCCCTTTCAAAAAGCCAGGGAAAGCCTCTTTTATTTGATATTGTTAGTCGATGTGCCTATCTTATTCTTCCTCTTTCATGCATATATATTACTGTTTCTACAACTAGTTTGGTGTATTATCTGTTATATGTTAATTTCTTAACAAAAGATGGATGTACAACACTGTTTAGTGCTTCTAGAGATTCTTGGCTCTCCGGATAGAAATTTTAATTCTATAGAAGTGCTTAACATTTATTTAACAATGCTAACAACACCTTTTTTCTATTAAACTTAAGTCTGGTGCAAAGACATATACTTTGGATCTATTCTTCTATCATCTTTTGGCTTTTGATTGTTTGGGTTGTGTGAAGCATATTTTCTTGAATCATGGCTGAGTTGATTTTATTTGTGGTTGTTTGATAGTTATATGAAGGAGGGAATGAGGACGAGCGTTGAAGCAATCCTTCTGGTAAGTTCATTGTGTTTGATTATGAGTTATGTCATTTTTCGACAATTTTTTTAATTAAACTGTATATTTCAAGTAGACTTGCTTTGTATCTAAAATTCCTTTGACATAGTTCCTTGCTGGTGATCAGATTTCTTGGACACCCAAATGGAGCTTGCTGTCCTATTTTTCTAATATTTATTTATTTATTTTTCATAAATTATTCCACGGGTGTCTTTTTTATGCAAGTTTATCCAACATGTATTGGCTGCTTGGGACGCCTACTAGACTTCAGTTTCTTGTATACCAAAATTTCTTGACTTTTAGGTACAAGAACACAACCATCCCCATATACTGCTACTTCAAATTGGAAATACGTTCTGTAAGCTTCCTGGTGGGCGCTTGAAACCTGGAGAAAATGGTAGAATTTGCTTTTTCTATTAAATTTCAACTTCCTGTATATTTGTTTTATGAAAATTTACCATTTTGATTGATGTTTATAGAAATTGAGGGCTTAAAGAGGAAGCTGTCCAGTAAACTTGCTGCGAATTCATTAGCTCACCAGCCAAATTGGCAGGTATGGTTTTTCATTAGTATATTCCTTTAGTGTTATTTTGCTTTTTGATTCAATTAAAATTTAAAGAGAACAGCAGGAAATCCTTAGGACTTTTACATTTGATATTAGAAGCAACTTTATAAAAGACGTGGAGCTGTAATGACTAAAATAAACGACTTCACATATGCTATTGTAATATATCATGGTTGTTTGATGATCCTATTGAAATCTATTTGCAATATGCAGAGAAACCCAATCAATTTATTAGCATGGTTTGTAATGAGAAATACTTATGACATGGAATGAATCTCTTAACAATTATAACTAAAGATATTAAAAATGAGATGTCTTGACGAATATTTTTTGTAGGCAATATAATTTTGGTCAGTGAGATATCTATTTATTAGTGAAAAGATAGAATAATGCAAAAAAGAAAAAGAAAAATATTGAGTTTAAAATTAGTGGAACAAATACTTAATATATGATGTGCAGTTTTGATAGGGCTAATAATAATAATTTAAATCATTATTATCTAAAAATAAAGTGATACGTAATTGTGATGTGTCCACATCTCAGGAATATATTGACACAAGAAAGACAATGTAGATATGAATGTAATTTTTAGAGTTAAAGCTAAGCGGTTAAAATGGGGTGAGAATATTATAAAGACTTGAAAGGACATTTATAAAACTATAATTAGGATAAAATACAAAAATAAAAAAAAAAATAAAAATAATTAGGCTGGTGATGCTGTATTATCCAAGTATTGGGCCATAAAGAAGATGTTAATGGCTAAGATGAGCATGAAAAAAATAAACATATCTAGATGGTTGTATGGAAAAACTAGAAAATATAAATTAAAGAATTTTTATATCAGATGACCAATTATTGTGACATCTATTGAAGATAGTTGAAAATATATTTGAGTGATTTGGATGTGTACAATGAATGATAAGATTGAAAAATGTACCCATTAGACATATAGGTAAAATTAGTGTTGGAGGATTAGGAAGGGCAAGGGACAACCTAAGGTAATATGGATATACATTCAACAATTTGCAAAGAACATGCTTAACATCTTAGACAACATTCAACAAGAATGAATGAAAAATGAGATTTAGTAAAAGTAGCCCTAACTAATCGGGATAAGATTAATGGCGATTAATCTCTTTTTTCTTATGATGAATGCAAAAAATTGAATATAATCATGCGAATGATCCCGAATAAACTGTAAGTGGCTGAATTTAATGGTTTCTTTTGATGGACTTTTATGAAACAATGAATCAAGAGTTTGAGAGGTTCAAGATAATCTTAACCTAAAAACATAGGATCTACAAAAGATGTTATCTTTCCAAGTTTTGATGTTCCTTAAGATTGATGTTGTCACACCCGACAGCAACCCCTCAATATCTATGTGAATGTGAGTTGAACAGGGAAACACTTTACTAACTCATTACATAACATCATTTCTACTAAATCAAAATTTAGTATGATGATTATTCCATCTAGCACTTTATAATAATCTCTAAAATGAAAACAATTTCAACTATTAATTATCCATTCATCTACAACGCTATTAAAACAATTCATGATTCTATATATGTTATAAAAAAATATTATACAAAACATAATGGATATGCCCGCCAAAATTCCATTTACAGCAAAACAGTACATCCAAAATATCCAGGCTTGAACCTATTCAAATTCTACTTTATATTTTTTCTTACTTGAAATAATATTTAACATGACAGGATATGAGCTAAAACTCAACAAGATAAACAATTTAAAGACGAAAAATAATTATCGCACGATTTTACTTATATATTAAATTGTTAATTTAATATGATACCAGAAGCCTTCATATATGAAATACCTGAATTAGTGTCTGCTGTACTTCATAAGCAAAATATCTAATTTGGAACAAACTTTAGATAAACATTTAAGTTGTAGGTATTATTCATATTTCATAACACTTCTAACCAACCATCTACAACCTTTTTTTTGTTGATTACATATATTATATACAGTTATTCCTTCAGTTTTAGAATATATCATCCATGTGGAAGTAGTTTATTTGGCCACTATAACTCAAAAGCTATGTGCTGAAGACCTTTTGACCTCCCTACAGGTCTGCCTTTGTTATCCTGCCTTTATAGGTCGACATAAACATCCCAATTGAAGGACCCTTTGGCTTTTCCATGGGCTCGTCTTTATCTCCCTACTTGTACAGTTTGCATCATTCATCGCATTACTATTATGTCAATATTCATGGCCTTTTTAAAGCTCCTTCGTAAAATTTCGTTTCTCGAACATCTAGATGTATGCATCTCATTTCTACCTTATGATTTTTTTTTCATGATTGTAATGAAACAAAATAAACTTTATATTCAAATTTTCATATATGGCAGATAATGAAATTAACATCGAATGTTGCTTTTTGAAATTAAAATTGTGTATCTTACCTAGCTGAAGGTTTTGATGGTTAATCTCCAGATAAATTATCTCACTACTGACACCACGACCTTTTTTTCGTTTATACACTACCTAAATAACAGATTTTCCAAGTTAAAATTCAATTCCACTTTCTGACAAAATTAAATCTCAATTTATCCCCGACATAACATTTTTATCTCAAAGTAATCTCTTCTCATTCGAATCCCAAGCTTCTCAAATCCTATTTATAGATTATTCAATGATGAAAATTATGAAAAATTGGAATTTTCTTATCTCTCAAGCCCTAAATTTCCTTCACCTTCCTTTGGCCAGCACACCCCTTCCTTCTCTGTTTGCCTTTACAGACCGCTGAGTTCCCTAGGCCAATAGAAAGAAATGAAGACTTCAGCTTAGGCTTAGGGTAAAAGCAACAAAATTGTCTGGTAGTTTTGCTAGAATTTACCTATATTATATATTTGATGTAATATACTGTACATTGCACATTCTTTGCTCAGCATACCTTATGTTTCCCCACGTAGCTGTGTTGATTTCTTGCTGAAATAACTGGGTGATGCGTTGGCAATGGAAGACATGTTCCATCATTCTTCCATGGGTTTGTGACTTACAACTTTAATGCTCTTGAGTTCTTATTAGATTCGTTACTTGGACCACTACTTGCACCACTAAATGTTACAAGTGCAGAAATTGAAGATACATGATAAACCTCACAACAATGTGACAAACAAAATAATGGAGCCAAGACGCAGGCTTTCATTTCTGTCAACCAATTTACAGTTGGAACTCCACATCATTGTTGATAGGCTTTTAGGACTTCTCGTGCTTTTTACTTTACTAACCTCCAATTTCAATCGGAGAACTTAGATTGGAAATTGCTGAGTTTACGATTTCTTCTATTCACACCAACCCAATGTAGTCCAGGTAGCTTTTAACTACTATTCATACTAACTATCTACCCGCCATGTTTGTGTACTTTATGCAATTACGTACACTTCAATGATAGGGTTGAAAAACATAGAAGAGAGACTATATTTTTCTTGTTCCAATGAGCAAGCCAAGGTATACTGTACATGGAGGATGCGTAGCCCTATATGAGGACTAATGGTGTCTAACCATTAGCAAAGAAAGGAAAAAAACATAAAGTAAATGCATAAAATTATCCTCCCTCAAATGGAAACAAGTATAAGGAAATCCGTGTCCTTTATTTAGAATATGGCTGTATTTTCCTTAGTAAGTCCGCATGGAGTAAATGCTTGAAAAACCGTCATCTTTGGCTGGCCCTATTGCGAGAATGGCTTGATTGATTGCTATCACTTCTAGGTTGATTCCATAATTGATTCCTGATTTAAAGTTGCAGCTTTTAACTCATTTATTTATGTTGTCCGCCTCGTCCACTCTATCATCTCCTTCCAGATTTTATTTAAAAAATTTAGCAATTATCATACCTTCCAATTTTGTGTGGCCTCCAATCTAGAATTTCTGCACTGTCCCACAAACTGGGAATATATATTAATGATTCTTAACTTGGAATTGAGTTTGTTAAATTACATTTGAATATTTGATTAAGAGCTTTAATGAGTATATCAATTATTAAGATTTCATAGGGGCATAGATTGCTTTGATAATTTCTTGTTGATTTTTTTTATTAAGTATCTATCAATTTCGATATGTTTAGTCTTGTCATGGTGAACAAATCCTTTAACAATACTTATTATAGTTTAGTTGTTGCACATCATCATTGATTTTATAATATGTCTTTCACAAACTTCATGAGCCATGATCTTGAATTCCGCTTCATTGCTATTTCTAGCAATAGCCACCAACTTCTAACTTCTGCAAGTGATTACTTTTTTCATACAGATGAGTAATAGGCAGAAGTGGACTTACTATTAGTTATAGATCCTGTCTAATCAGCATCAACTAAAATTCAATACTTTGTTCCTTTCTTGAAGAATAAGCCTTCTCCTAGATGTGTTCTTCAGTGCTTTGATTATCTTGTTAGGTTTACACTGTTTAGTATACTATTGCAAGTTATTATAAATTCAAACAACATCACACAAAGTTCGGTTCCGATGTTTCTTCCTTCCTGCATGCTGCAACAAATATTATGTTTTCCTTCTATCGCTGGATTGGATTCCCTTGATTCTTTGCTATAAGTGTTTCACGTGCTTTTTTCCTTTGATGCCATTGCCTTCGGATCCTTGCATATAAGTTTTATGAGCTTCTTTCCTTTTGGTTCGTATATGCAACTGCCTTTGGTTCCTTGCTACATGAATTTCACATGCTTGTTAGTTGCCTCATGGGATTTTTCCCTGTAGAACTTTGTCTACAACAATAGAGACAATTAATTGTATCTAAAATTGAGATTGATAGCCAGACAACTGCCTGGAAGGAAAGATTAGATTTGTTATTTTTAGAGCTGGATGAATTAAAACTTGCAATTTTAAGCCATATTCTGGTGAATTTTAAGAAATTAATATTTTTGGTCTCTTTAATTTGTACCCTTAAGTTATGTAATTTTACTATTAATTATTGAATAAAGTTTCATTTATCTCTTAACTTTGTGTATT